AGGCTTAAAAGGTTAAATTATTGTCAAATGCTAGCAAAGGTTTTAAGAGTTCGTTTTGACAAGTGCTTTTCTTTTTTGCTCGTCACAAAGATGTTTTACCTGCATTATTCTGACCACAAACAAGTACAATCAGGCACGAGAAAGCTTGCTGCTGATTGTTCACATTCATCTGCTGATATCTATTTGAGTTTTGAAGAAGTTATCTACAGGTTAAGAGATGTTTAAGAACTTTCATTTTAAAAATGTATTTTCTTCCTCATACAGGATCCTCACCCCAGGTTACCTAAATGAATTCAGTCACAGTGATGTAGTATGTATAAAGTGTAAAGGTCACGCTATATTACTACTCAAGGCCAAGGAACAGTGTTGGTCCCCAGAAAGTAGTAACATGCTCTGTTATTGGTTTTGTCTTGCTGATATCTGTTTATCTCCCTAAATGTAAACAGAATTTTTACAGGATTCATATTTTGAATTTAAACTGACTTTAAAACTAAAAAATACATTTTTAATGCAGGACAATAAACAAACATTTGCTTTCTATTTAGCTGCAGACTATTAGCGGTGCCTTCACTTATAAAAACACTTTCTTCCAGGTAACTTTTAGCTTAAAGCATACCAGTCAATAAAAATGTGGAAACAAGGATCAAAAATATGAATTAGCTCAACTTTTTTGTTTTTACAGTGTAGCTGCTGGAGTTTCAGAAACTAATAAGGGAAGGGGGGAGGGGATTGGGTGGGGTGGTGTAGGGGGTTAACCAACACATGACCTTGGGACCAGGCCTCAAGAACTGACCTTTCTGCCGGAGTCCTTGTGTCCACACTCCCCCTTGTCATACCACCACTTGTTTTTCAACTTGTCTAAGACGGCTTGTTCATTGAGCTTCAGTACTGCTAGGTTTACTGGGATTCTTCAAAGAACCATAAGAGGAAGGAAGGGGAATTGGAAATAACATAAATAACATTATGCACCTCCATGTTATCTTATGTTATTGTTCAGCTGCACAGCAACAGGGCTGCGATAGCTACAGCAGCAGCAGTGGTGGTGGCAGCACCGTTTTTAGCAAAAGTGACTTTAGCAGTACAGTAGCTGTGGAACACTACAGAAAACACCTCAAAAACAGCAGAAAGAAAAACAAACAAACAAAAACAGGCACAATCACACGGAAAACTCTGGAAAATGTCAGCATCAAAGTGATATGCATTAATACTCCATCTAGCTTGGTTTAGCCTGACTCCCTACGTGCGAGATGTGTATTACTATATCACTTTGGGTAACCGGCAAGGGCTGAAAACACTCCGGGAACTTTGGGTTTTCTGAGCAAGAATGCGTCATAAGCTGTCTAAAAAACAGACTGCATACTATAAACTGTAGTCTCTAGGCGAGGAAGGCTGAACAGCTAACTTTTTCTGGAATAAGATTGAACTGACAAAACTGACTGAAGGGGTATTTTAGTAGGCTTAGTACTTATCAATTCATTGCTAGTTAGCCAGGATCAGGAACAGACTAGATTTGTATGCTGAACCAATCAGCCACAACCTTTGAACCTTTGGTCACTAAAAGGCATTTATTGTCTTACAATTCAGTGTTGTTCCAGGAAACCCCGGGTCCTAGAATGGCTTTCCTCTGCTTTCATCAGCCCGACAACCTGTACTGCCACACTACAAAAACCACTCTAGAAAGCCTTAAGAAACCCAGACAGACATTGTCTAGGCAAGTCTAGATCCCAA